GAGGTATCCACCATTAACCTATATAATTATTATCCTTTACTAGTTCCCGAATGTCTTTGTCAAGCTCGGCTATTCTTGACTGGCATCATTGCAATTTCCCATGATATTTCGACTGGAGGCATTTCCCGCCTAAAGTGTACGGTCGAGGGCGATTTGATTTACCTCATCAACAACAAGTTTATGTTTTGAGACCTCGCGAATCCATGTGCTGGATTTCTCCCTGTCTAATAAGTCCGGCACAGAGACCAATTGAGGATATAACATTCATGTTGTTTGGTTACCTGGCGTTGAACGAACAGCCTTTGTTGGCGCGCTTGAGACCTGCTGGCGGGACAGAACGTATTATAGTCATCGCGGAATCAACGAAACAATTCGTTCTTTGTAAAAGCTTTCGACCTGATTACACATTAACTTTTTGTTAGCACATACCAGTACTTTTTGGGGTCGAGATTGGATCCCGTAACTATAAAAAGCTCTGCCGATCGAACGAAGACTTCAGCCTCCATAATAAGATCGCGCCAAGTGATTTCAATGGCAGATTTCTTGTGTTTTCGTGATTGAAATTCGAGCATAGATGCAGTATTTATTATTAGGTGAAACTTTAACTTATAATCAACAGGTTTAAGTAACCGCATAGACACCTACCGACCGCAAACGTTGATGTAATTTTCTACACCGATGACAGAAATATAGCGCCTCAGTAGAATGCATGCTGCGAATTTTTTTCGGGGCCAAAGCTCCTCATGACTAGCGACCGATATCGGATTTTTTTATAATATTAGTGGTAGATTTGGATTTTGGATTTTGGACCCTAGTGGCCGATTCTGGATTTTGGACCCTCGTGGCCAGTTTTGGATTTTAGACCCCAGTGGCCGATTCTGGATTTTGGACCCTTGTGGCCGATTTTGGATTTTAGACCCTAATGGCCAATTTTGGATTTTAGACCCTAGTGGCCGATTTTGGATTTTGGACCCTAATGGCCAATTTTGGATTTTAGACCATAGTGGCCGATATTGAATTTTGGACCTTAGTGGCCGGTTTTGGATTTTAGACCCTGGTGACCGATTTTGGATTTTGGATTTCGGACCCTAGTGGCTGATTTTGGATTTTGAACAGTAATGGCCGATTCTAAATTTTGGACACTAGTGACCGATTATGGATTTTCGACACTAGTGGCCCATATCTGGTTTGGACTCTAGTGGCCGATTTTCGATTTTGAATCCTAGTGGCCGATTCTAAATTTTGGACACTAATGGCCGATTACAGATTTTGGACCCTAGTGGCCAATTTGGGATTTTGGGCCCTAGTGGCCGAATTTGGATTTCGGACACTAGTGGCCAATTTGGGATTTTGGACCCTTGTGGCCGATTTTTGGTTTTTGACAGTAGTGGCCGATATCGGATTCTGTACCCTAGTGGCCGATTCTAAAGTTTGAACGCTAGTGGCTTATTTGGGATTTTGAACACTTGTGGCCGATTTGGGATTCTGTACCCTAGGGGCCGATTCCGTATTTTTCACCCTCGTAGCCGAATCTGGATTTTTCACCCTAGTGGCCGCCTTTAGACTTTGGGCACCAGTGGCCGATTTTCATTCTGGTTTTGGACCCTAGTGGCTGATATTTATTTCTGGACACTAGTGGTCAATTATAGAGTTTGGATACTAGTGGCCGATTCTGAATTTTGGACACTACTGGCCGATTTTGGATTTCGGACACTAGTGGTCTAGTTTGGAAATTGGACCCTGGTTGCTGAATTTCATTTCTGAATTTCATTTCTGGACTAATTGCTTATTTTGGATTTTTGACTGTTGTGGCCAATTTTGGATTTTGGACACAACTGGTCGATTTTGGATCTTGGACACTAATGGCCGTTTTTTTGTTTTTTAGACACTAGTGACCGAGTTTTGGCTTTGGACCTTAGTGGCTGATTTTTTATTTAGGACACTAATGTTCGGGTTGTTTTTGAGACCAGTGTTCGATTTTTGATTTTGGACACCAATATCAATCAGTTTACAGGTCAAAAATAGTGAAAATATTTTATTACTAAACTAAGAAATATTCTACAATTTACTCAACGTCCACAAAAGTCTTAGTGTTGACCTAAACAGAGTCAGTGAACCAACGTGTACATCTTCACTGGGTCGACTATTTTATGCATTAATTATCCCGACAAAGAAAGTTTATGGCTGTGGTTTGCTCTAATCCGAGTATTCTTTGTACGCTCGAAAGAGTTAGGGAAGTAAAAGTTTAAATGATAGGATAAGGGACTTTCTTGCTAACGTCGCTCATCGAAACTGGCGTATTCCGGATAAAAAGTTGCGGGATCTAGGATCAACTTAGTTTAGAAGACTAACGGGTGTCGTTCGCAATGCACTCTTACTCAGGCACTTCAGCATTTCAATTTTTTTTCAAAAATTATTTCTTTTCTTTGCTCTACCAGGAATCAATGCTAACGCTTTTGACTGCTGTGTCTCGGCGTGCGATCTATGTAGTTTATCAAGGACTGACAACTAACCCATGCTTGTGCTATTTTCTGCTTACACCGTCGGTATACAACCACCCTCCTCAATTTGCGTCCCCTCCTTGTAGGGGAACAACAGCGCGTGTTTTTTACCTCATGTTCTCTTAAGGTTCGCTGTGTGGAGAATAAAGATGTAATTGATTTATTTCTCGTTCCTTAAACCCCATTAGTTCGTGACGATATTTCTTTAGGGGGCGACAACAACATTATTTTTCAAGTATGGGCGAGAAGGCTCTACTCTCGAATGATACGAGTTGCACATACGCCCAGTACTCTATTTTGAGTGTTCTTTTCTGTTCTCTTACAAGATTCTTTCGCACGAAAAATGTAGAGTTCAAAATGTACAAGGTGTAAGATTTTTCCTTTTTACTAAACCTGCTTGAAAAAATTCTAAACTCGCTTTCCAAAATAGGAACGAATTTTGTCACCAGGATACCAGCTATATTTATTTACGTCACTTTAAATTGATGTTAAGAGTCTCCGGTGTTCTCGACTAGTTGAAAAAAGATTGGCATTAATATACATGAACGAATTTCTTTCCTCTGTTCCGATTTATGTAACTATTATCCAGAAGATGTAGGGCATAACATTTATAACCATTTATAAGTAAATTATTTTCTACCGAGGAATGTGTTCCGACACCTCTAGAGGCTCTTCCTCGCTTGGCGCTGAACGTCAACGCTCCACAAAATTCCTCGCTGGCTCCAAGAAAGTGGAAAAAACTTCCATAGAGCGTTCAAAGATTCATAAGACAAGACATGTAAACCTTCCGAGCTTGATAAATTATTGACTATAAAAATTTATGGGAAGATAATACAAGAATAAAGATACAGCTGTTGCCTCAAGAAAAATCTATCAAACGTTGAGATTTCTCCTTAAGATTCGAGTATTTAGCTGTTGGATCAACCTTACTATTGTTACAGCTTTGAGGCATTTTCAGCTCGGTTGACGGGAACTGAATGATTGTGATGAATCGTTGGTGAATCCAATTAGGATCCCGTTGGCTGGATCTCAATTTAATAAAAAAAGGGATCCCTTTGTTAATTATAGCTTGTTATATTTTTCTTATATTTTATATTTTCTACATGCTGCGTACAAATTGAGAGTAAATCAATAGAAAGAGTAGCATGTGTGATCATGTGTTTATTTTCCCAACTTGACGAAGGCGCTTCAAGACAACATAGAGTTATTCAAACATGCTCTCAATTTAACATAGTCCCCAGTGGACAATTGTGATAAATTTTTCAGGTAGGTCCTTGTAAACTATAGGATAGTCATTTGGATTATAGCTTCAGAGAAAGTCTCAAATTATGGTATTTTCATGAGGCTAGAGTACGTCAAGTGACATAAAGTATTGGTCAGTATTGTGCTTAAGCCTATAAGAGTTTGAATTTTGTCCAGAAAGTAAGGTAATTCTCTTGGTACCGCCTCGAGGAATAAAGTGAAACTGATTTCCTTCGGTCTGATAGAAAGATGTACAATTTGTAAGTAAAAAACATTCATATTTATATATTTCCTATAATCTAATCGATAAATTGTGAGTTAGAACTCCGACGCAGTTTACCGGATTTACTAACCAACTGCGTGTTATACGTGTGGAAAAGGCAACAACTATTGTGGTGATTTAAGAAAGGGACAAAATAAATGAATAATTTATTGGCTTGGGGTCGGTCCATAACGTGAAAAACTCTGCCCTCGGCCGCTGCATTATAAAAACCTCGCTCACATTTTTTTCAATGTGCCTCCCGGGCGGCAGATAACATATCTATCTTGATTAAATTGTTGAGCATTCATCAGCAATTGATTGCCGCAGGAGACTTAAACACTACAACAACAAACAACTTCAACAAAATCTCAACAAACTGAGCTCAACGCGTCCTTGCAGGACATCGAAAAAAACTGGAACGACTACAAAGGAACAAAGAATGAGAACGATGCAAACTAGACGATGGTAGGGTCGAGATGAAACGGTGATCCCCAGTCTATAGAGTACCCCGATATGCGTTGACTGCTTAAATGGACTGCAGTCACATTTTAGGGTCAGCTGGCTCACAACACTCGCCCGACATACAACACCTTTGTGATTCTGATAATAGCAGTGACCTCCACGCAAGTTTTTGGAACGTCAGTCTCCGTCCCTGACAACCGTCCTTTCCCTTCTTCTTTTTTTCTTTGATGGTCCTCTCTGTCACGCCACCTATCTTCCAGACGCCAATAATTAACAATATCGTGTATCACCGATAAATCAAAATCCTGCCCAAGTTTAAGGTCTGTACGAATTTGAGTTCATTGCTTAACCTACCACAAGAAATACATAAGGCTTCGTATGATGACTTTAAGAGCAGTAGAAGTGTGACTGTCTGTTATTTTGGGAACTGGCAAAATATCGATCAGAATGAGCTAGGGCCTATCAAGTTTCAGTTTTCTCGTAGGTCTCCTCACGCAAAGGTCCTCCAGAGGAACTTTGCTCCCATTCAATGGCGAGAAGACTTTCAACCAGGAAACCATCTCTACAAATCTGCCTGGTGTTATGTTAATCTCCTCAAGCCCAGCATCGATACTCATTCGGTGTTTTGATTCAAAACTTCGATGTAAGATCAATTACGTGCTAGTCAAGGTGAGTTTTATTATAATCGATACTAAAAGCGGAATTGTTCAAGCGTGTGATTCTGCTACAGACCTGTTCGTGATTAACAAGTAAAATGAGCCAAATTCACAACTTTTCTGTGATAGCAAACTTAAGGGTTTCGCGGTAAACTGATGTCAATGGAGTCTTAAATTCTTCCATCACCAATCATCACCGAATGAAATAGTCGCGTGTAAATTAGTTAATGTCGGTCTCCATTGCCGTAATCTTCGAAACGTTTTTAAAGTAGTCCAGTGAGGTTTCAGAAAGGTTAACCAAGCATAAATGGTCAGAAACTGAAAGTTTCGCTGAGACTGGTTCGGTCTTTCCAAAGGCTTTCTCTAATAGGTAAAAGTATAAAACCGTCTTTAGTTTCACGTAACACACCGTAATCCAAAATCATAAGTACACACATTCGTCAATAATTAAAGATCTTAATCAGATGAAGTTCATATGATCGAAAATGACCAAAATGTTTCAGCGATTTCATTTAGAGCCTTTTGAGGAGACAAATATAACTCAGCCGGATATTGCACTCTTGTACTATTGCAATATATTTATTTCTTTTTTTATCCTTTGTCATTTCCACGGAAAATGTTGTTGTTTACTAAAATGGAGATGCAAGGTAAAACATTACATAAACTAGGCTTTAGAGTGAAAAAAATTTTTTGTAAGGGCGAATTCGACAACATATTGAAGGATTCAGTGTAAACTTCTAATACAGTCCCCGAAGAATATCAGCGGCTGGGTAAGGAGGGAAGGGGAGGAAGGGGGGAGGGGGGGGGTTGGTGGCGGCCGAGCTGAAGCTGGGGGGAGCGGGGTAGAGTCCCTTACGAAAACATCTCTGGCTTACCATAAAATTCGTTTGCAAAACTACATCGTCTCGTCATAGACAGTAAATGATGTTGCAATAATAAAATAAAAATTGTACTCCCAGATTTGCAGGAATCTCTGAGTTCTCTTTAGAGGCTCACATATTGAATTTTATTTTATTTTTTAAAAGATTAGTCCGGAAAACTCACAGGGTTCATAGAAAATTTTAGATTATCTAAAAATCAGGCATTTCGCTGCTTGATTCAAAAGCCTAAGAGAGCCAAGGTAAAAATGATCAAGTCTCAAGCTTTTCAAGAACTAGGATCATAGAAAGAGTTTTGTCATTATTTTTGTTTAGGAACATGTCGGCGAACTAAAAGTCAACGAAGTAAGAGGTTTAGAAAGAACTCTTCCCATTAAGGTTGTTGTATGGCAACAGAATAAACAGAAAATTTGAGAAAAAAAAGGGCATATTCAAGGGAGCGCCCTTTATTTTAAATTATCGAGCTACGTGCTCTCCAAAAAATTTTCTAATTACAAGGAAGTGCGAGGGATGTAAAGTAAAAGTAACTAGGAGTTATTTTCATTTACAGTCACCTTAAAAAGTAGTTGCACCTTAATCAGCATCGTAATCGCGTTTATTATTTGGTCGAAACGACTCTCAGCCCATAACCCAAACATGTTTAACGATAAAATACTTAACGAAGTGCCTTAGAATAACGTTTCGGTAGAAGCAGAAGAATCAGCAGTAGTTACTGGCCGAAGTATGAAAGAAGAGCGTTAGTGCCTCTTCATTGCGTGATTTGCTCCGAAGCTAGTTTCTCCGACATTGCATCTTATAAAATGGTTTGATAACAATTGTGTATTTTAACTAAAATCAATCACGACTTCGTCACACATGTTTGCCAGCCATTTGAATAAGTTTTCATGTTTTTACTTTGTTTTCTTGTCAGTTCGTTGTGATGTTTACTCTTACTTTCAAAGACTGTTGTGATTACGTACTTTGCTTGTGGTTTAACAGCAGCCAATCGAAATGCACTCTGAAAGGAAAAAAAATTGTGCTGTTCAGGTTAAATGGTTCTCGTTGCCCGGTTTCCAGATAAGAATCTTTTTTGTTCGAGACAAAGAAGGCTTATTAACATGTTAGGGAAAGGATAAAGAATAAAGAATACGGTCTGATTTGTTTTATATTCAATTTATCCATAGAAAATATGAGCGGTTAAGGAAGATGAAATTCGTTGTACCGGTCGCAAGAAGGATTCCTTGCGGTCCTGTCGCTTTCAACAAATCATGCCTGACCTTTCTACTGGTGATCGCTTTACTATTTTTTTTTGTAACGTTTATGTACGCCTCCAGAAAGACAAGTTCTGCCCAGCTAGAATTCTCTAGTCGTCACGGCGCTATGAACCAGTTCGTCTCTCCACATCATTTACAAGTTGAGCTCACTTCGACGAGGAATTTTGAAATCCCTATACATGCAAAAAAGGCAAAAATTATTATTTTGTCCTACCCAAGGTCTGGATCTTCATTCTTAGGCGACATATTTAATCATCATCCTGGAGTTTTTTACTTATTCGAGCCACTAATTACGGTACAAAGACGTTTCAGCAGAGATTCGTTATTCGAATATGACTTCTCGTCTTCTTCCTATCAAACCGCAGCGAATGAATTCCTAAGTAATGTTGTAAGATGCAACTTTGAAAGAAATAATTTTACCCGCTACATTAGAGAAGCTGAGCGCAACAAAAGCTTAGCACTGAAGTCTTCCCCGTTTTGTTCTCAGGATGGATCATGCAAAAAACTCAAACCAAGGCAACTTGAATATGTCTGTCGAAACAGCTACAGCGTTTTTGCCGCAAAAGTGTTGTCACCCAGAGTACCAACCTCCTCTGACTGGATAAGAACGTTTTTACAAAGCTGCAGCTCTGTCAACAATGCCAACCAATGTAGAATTTTTCATTTAGTGCGCGATCCGCGAGCTGTGGCTTATTCTTTAAAGACTGTGCACTTTTTTAGGAGGAAAAAAGACCAACAACGTGAATTTTCGTGGTTTGTGAAGAAAATGTGTCGTCAAATGGAGTTAGACCTCAGCGGTATTTCGACCCTTAAAACTTTATTACCCAATGGATACCGGTTGATTCGGTTCGAAGACCTCGCTGGGAATCCCTTTTCAATGGTGAGCGAGCTTTACAAGTTTGTCGGCATGGAAATGTCGGATGAAGTCAAACAATGGCTGTACGAGGCGACAAAAGCTGGCAATGCCCACAAAGGAGCCTACGAAACCATTCGCGACCCAAAGGAAGTTCTTGAGAAATGGAGAAAGAAAATGAGTCCTGCACAAGTGAAAATTGTTGAGGACCATTGTGCAAGAGTCATAATACAACTGAATTATTCACTGACTTAGAAGTGTATATATGTCCTTAGCCAGGTAAGAAAATAAATTAGTATAGGTTATAGTGATTTCGAGTGAAATTTGGATGAGTAACAACATGATTTCTCATGCAATTTGGTTTTATAAAGCACGAGTAAATTTTTCGAAACGACAAAATTGCACGAGCCCGAATTTATAAGTTGTTATTTACACCAAATTGCATGAGATATCATGTTGTTACGTGTGAATAATTTACATGAAAAACGCATCAAAGAAAGTCAAAACGGACGAAATTTTGCAGCGCGCGCTATTTGTAATTTGCACTCATGTTACATAAAAAATGCACTCGTTTTCAGCCAATCAGCCGCGCTTAATTTTTTCATGTATATTATTAATACAATGGACAGCGTTGAAGGCGCGTTCTGATTGGCTAATCAAACTCCGAATATCCTTTGACATTCACCTCCAAGCAACTCGGGCGGGATTTGCGCCCGAAAATATTGTAATCGTTGCAGGAATAAATTAGTTTAAGTTATCTCTTTGTGCTTTGCTACCTCAATATTTTAGTATACACTGGAACAAACATTTACCTCGCTCCTTTATTTTCTCTTGGAATTACCAAGAAGACCTTTCCTTAAACGCCTGCAGTCAGTCTCAACAATTTACTTGCCAGTGAAGTTAGGAAATGTCGGAAATCTCGATAAATTACTCGCCAATGCGATATCTTCCTTTCCAGTGGATATTATCATTACAATTACATAAAAGACCTTATAAAATTAAAAAAAAGTAAAAGTAAAAGCATATCACATTGTGAATTTCTCATTGCTATATAACGCGGTTGTCATGAAAATACAATTTTACATCCGGGTTTTGTATTCGCGCGCTGTTGCCTGGCGACCAAATTTTATGTCAATTTATTGTCTTTCCTACAAGGGAATTTTTTTACATATAAGTTCGCTTTATCCTCTCTTGGTTACGTTCTCCATCAAAATGCAGACCAGAAAACATGTTTGCGCTCCACACCGCATACATAGACAGGTGTGTTTACGTGAGGAAACTCTCGGCAGCACGAGCTCCATACTGAGAGGACTTCTTGATTCCGTGCTGCGTTTAAGAAAGCATCAGTCTTCTCTTCATCCCTTGTATATTGTTTGCGAAGTCGTCAGTAGGACATCATATCTAAACCTTTGTTATTTTAAGGTTCTCGTCATACCAAAAGGGTTTCAGTTGATGTCAGCAACCGGCTAAAATGTCATATAACAGCCAACTCATTTTTCACTCACAACAGCCTAAAGGGTCGCATGAGCTCTCGAGGTCAAACAATAGAAGAGGGAAGCTATAGGAAAGAGCAAATACCTCCGCTGGCTTTAGAAAGAGGAGGAAATTTAAACAGTCAACGAAAGGAATTTCTGAGTTTACTTTCTAATTACTGCATTCATTTTCCAGATATCAGAACTAAAAGTCTATTCTATACACTTAATATTCGACCCCATAGATCTGCATTGGAGTAGCATTTGTATCAATCAAGAATTGAGGCGTAGTTCAGTTAGAGGAAGATGTTTCTGGGTTTCTTGTCGATGCGTTCTGGAATTCGATGTTTCTCAAGTTATCGCTATTTTAAGCGTTTTAACTGCAGAAACTTTAAAAATTTTTATCAGCGCAAGGTTCAGATCTGTGAGTGATTTCTTAACCTTGGAGCTTACCTATGAATTAGTCGTTACTACTTGAGATTGTTTATTGTAAGGTTATAAGTCCCGCTACCTCACATACAAGCGCGTATCTTTTGTTAATAGTAGTTGAAGTTGGATTTTGTAGTGACATTTTAACAACAGGGCAGTGGTACATTAAATAAGAAGATATTGTGATCCGATACACCTGGTACCCTTCGCTCAGCGAGTTTGTCTAAAGCTATCTTCCCCCTAACTTCACAACAGTAGTCTTTAAATAAGAAAACAACAACAGTAGCAACAAAATATTGTCCAACTTCAGTAAAGAATTGGAGCAAACGTAAGCAAAATCAGTGTTGGAAATCAACGAAATGTCCGACGGAAAGTAAGAAATTGGCATGGATGACGTGGACTACAGGCTATTAATGGATCCGGTTAGCTTTCTAAGTAAATTAAGCGAAGCTGAATATTAATAACCTATACACAACTTGATACAATGTGCTACTGCCTCGACCCTAAGCTGAAGCTATCACGTAACACGGAATAAGTGACCACTATTAACCTAATTATTCTATAAATAATAGAATTTTCAAAATCTGGACGTTCAAGTGCCACAACTTCCTCTTTATGTCTTTCATCAGCTGTGATATTTACTGGCACGACGCAGACACCCAGAGCTGTACCGAAGGGCGCCCCGTCTGATTCAACACGGGGAATGGTGTTGTCTAACGGCTCTTGAAGACTCCTACGGCTATTTGTAACATTTGAGGATTCGGGTACACTGCCTTGGCGTGGTGTGTCCTTGCTAGGGTTTTCCCATAATGCATGCGTGTGGCCACTTGATTGCTTGTGATCAATGGAGTTAGTTGAGCTGGTTGTCTTTATGGTTACACGAGAGACATTGTCGTTACTGAGGTCTTCTGTGTTTGCATCATCTACGACAGAATAATTAAGAATAAGACATTGAATATCTAACCCACAACCCATAGTTCCACAAGTTTGTAGAAGTTAATAGCAGAACAGCGTATGAGACAAAAACGCGAGTCAGGAGTTTAATTTCTGACCGCTTTTGGTTATATCTTGAAAGAAATAAACTAAGTTTTTGGTATCTCTCTAGCGTATCCTAAAACAATTATTTACCTCAGTGACGGTTAAAATGGTGAAAATTCACCTTCACCTCGGTGAAAAATTGTTTACAATTAGTATAGACCACACGGACGAATAGCACTTTTCGTGCAAGCTGACTGGCTAGTTCGGAAGTGGTTAGCAAGTACTGTTCACCTTCAAGCAGCCGAAGGCATCTTCTCATGGAGATTTCTTGAATCTGAGATGGAGTCAATTAGATTTTCAAATATCAAATTCCTTAAAATCGCGCGTCAACAGTTTAATTTACAACAATTTTGGTTTCTGTGTAGTATATACAAAAACAATTATTCACCTCCACTTCGGTAAATAATTGTTTTAACAATTATTCACCGAAGTGAATAATATTTAAAAATAATGAATAAAAATACTTTTACAAAAATACTAGATTTGCATCTTCATACCACTCAAATCTATTAGGTGTACGTCGCCCTCTTGCAAACCAGCTTTAACCAAGATTGCAATGACATCAGGCCTTTGGATATTCCTCAGCATATCCACTAAGTGCCGGACTGTTTTTGCTCTTTGAAACATTATCTCGAGCACCCCATTCATCATTCCATCCGCACCATAGTAGTCTAAACTTTGTACTGTTTGAAAGCTCAGAGACATCTCGGCCGCCATGGCTTTCCAATTGTTTCTGAGGGGGCTAGGGTTGTTCAGCAACATAACAAGCTCGCTGAGAGTTGAACTTGGGACATCTTTCAATAGTTGCTCTGAATAACACACACAACCAATGTAAAATTAAAGCAAAAACAAACTAACACAACGACAACAACGAGAAAACAACAAACAAAAGAACAAATAAAACCCAAAGAATTGATAAAGGTGAGTATTCATATTTATCGTGATTCGAGGTAACTTATCTTTTTGCTTGATGTTTCCTCGATTTAAGATGAAAGATGCCTACATCCTTTCTTGAATAAGCGAAATTTTTCAATTATTGTTTATTCTACCCCAAACGCGCTTAAGTGTTACATTCAAATTACGTCCTTTTTGAAAAGTTCTAGAACACGCGGTTAAATTTTCTTGTATATATATATATATATATGTGCGACAAAACGTTTTCATTTGCTTATAGACTTAAATAATTTAATAAATGTCAGGAAATTGTGCTTTGACAGAAAAAGAAATAAAAGTAAGATGTTATTTTATGCAAATAAAAGTTTCGAAGTTTACCTCGGTTGCGTCAAAACAGTTTTTGTAAGGTCAATGCCTTACAAAAATGTTAGTAATTTCGAGTTACATGAATTTGTTTCCAAAAATGCATATCTCAGCAACCACACAAAACTGTCATGTTATACGTTTACAAGTTAATATTAGTCTTTATATTCTCCGCACTTTTCTTTTTTTTTTTGTCTGACAATCAGGAGCATCTTAAATTGGTGATCATTTCCTTTATTCTCATGACCTTCATATTTGATTCAAGGATGATACTGTGAGGAGAAATTAGAAACCAGTCACTCTTGGAGGTTTAAGGGTTTAACGGTTCACAAAAAATTTCTCACCAGGGCCTGTGATTCTTTCTGTAGTTGTTCTTACTGATGGACCGGTGGAGTAGCTTGCTGTTACAAAAAGAAAAAAAAAATGCACAGTTTTTCACATATTTGACATTTATTTATTATCAGTATTTTTATGAATATAATCATAATCACTATATTCATCATATTTACTACTAATATTGTTAGTATCATTTGGAATTATTCCTACATTTTGTTTGCTTTTTGATTTGTTTTGTTTTACTTTTTGTCTATTTAAGAATCAATAGGGATTGTCTTAACCAAGTAGCTAAATCGTAGTACGAGTCTTTAATTCTTAGCGTTACCTCTTCGTTGCCCGGAGTAACAAGTCATTCGCGACCTGTAACCAACATTGACGTTTCCCCCAGTAACGACTACTGAGTAATTTCCGTGTGTTGCTAAAAAAAAAAAAAAAGGCAGAAGAGGGCTATCGATTAATGTAGCGTACAAAAAAGCCCTCGTTACTGGAGCTTCGGCGCGAGTGTTTCTTCGCCCGCGGGAAAGTGGGAAGCCTTGAACAATACGAGCCAACGAGGGGTCGATCCTCGAAGGGTCTAACATTATTAGAGCCAGACTCCCAGCTAATCTCTATCCGACTCATCTGAAATTTTCCCTTGGGAGGAGAAACTTGTGCCTATCAGCGTTAATGATAAGGGCTGCTCGCATGCTACGATCAATGAAGTTCGTTCAAATTTTATGGTTAAACTTATAGTTTTCAGTTGTAACGCGACAATTCGTTACAACAGAGAGGCTTTCCTCAAACAATGTAGTAGTGTTTCCTTTAAGGAAGAAACTGAAGCAAAGTGTTATTTTTTTCTACGCCTAGCTGTGTATTCTGATGATTTGCGTGGAAAGCCTCTTTCGATTAAAAAAGTCTAGGAAGTATAAAGCAGCATCAGTGTACCTTGTAGGAGCCCAGCCATCAGCTTTGTCAACACTAGGAGACAAAATTGTAATACAAATGGCATGAATTATACTTTTAATGTACATGAAAAAATTATGCGCTTCTGAACCAGTGTATTTTCATGTAACGCGGGTGCAAAGTTGTAACACGAGTGCAAATGTCAAATAGCGCGCGTAAGCTTTCGCAATTTCGTCTGTTATGACTTTCTGCGATGTTTTTTCTTGTACACTATTGACAAGTAATAACATCATTTCTCTTACAATTAATTTGGTGTAATAAGCACTTGACAAATTTTCAAAGACTACAAATTGCACTTGCCTTACGTGCTCGGGCAATTTTGCTGTCTTTAAAAAATGTACACGTGCTTATTTACATCAAATTGCACTCGTAAGCATGTAATCACATGTACTTATTTTGTTTTGTGTTTATTATTATTATCATGCCGCTCATTGAAATTGCTTTATTAGAAAAATGTCCGTTTTCAAACACTATTCTAACTTTGAATTGAATTTGAGAAATCAGTGGATTTGCGTTGCTCAGCACAAATAGAGAAAATTTGTGCAATGGACCAAGGCTATTCCAACGCACTTACTATTTAAGAATTAGATTATGACCTCGATAATTCTATTGAGGTGATAGTTGACGAGAAAGAACGTGGACCGAATCAACTATCACGCATATAAATTTCGCAGGAATAATCTAATTTTACAAAAGAAATCAGTTAATCGAAATTAACATCCAGACAAGTTCGTGTTTTTATTTTATTTTGTTTAAATTCGCACACTATCAGACTACTCATTCAACATGAGATAGACCGCGAGTAGCGTAGCCAAACAAATTGCAGCGTCTGTCATCGAACAGAAGTTCTGAGATCTATGCTATTCCTGTGTTTATAATAAATGATAGCAGACCGATAAAGTACCGTCCTAAAAAAGCTTTAATCATCGAATCAATTCCGGCTTGAACTACTTTCACTTTCACCACCACAGTTAATAGTAAGAAATCTGTTACTGCTTTGAAAATCATAACGCAAAATGTAGTTGCGAGAGAAGCATTTTAATCCTCTTCTTTTACGGGAAGAGTTTCTTTCGCAAGCAAGTCACTTTGTCTCACTCCTACCGGTAATCATGCTGTTTAACTGGCCCTTAAATTATTTATTCCCATTTTTTAATAACGCTTTTTGGACGCAGATCAAAATAAACAATGGGTTAGAAACTTGTAAAGAAGATGCGTCGCGGATACGACGAATATAGAAAGTGAAAATGGCTATTTTTAGTAATCCCCTGTCGCGATATATGAAGACCTTGTAATTGCAATATAAAAGTTTGTTCGCACAATTGTGCATCTTAAAAGTGATGAAACGCAAAGACCTAAAACAGCAGAAAATGGGTAAAGAAGAACAGGAATGAAAAAAAATATATATATTTGTGATCAGTACTTCGAAATCAATCCGAACTATTAGGGAAACTGTAAAACTCGCTTTCGTGATCAATTTAAATAACACTGAGTAGACTTTGCTGCGCGATACCTCAGCCTTTTGATGATCTCAGTCATGGCTGACATTGGATAGTTCTAAATCTTGCTTCAATTGTTTGAGGTCAAGAGGAAAGTTTGCAATTTCTAGCACGAACGATAAGATATAGAAACAAACTAATATCAACATATTCGAACAGTAATAAAGGTTTTTGTTCATGACACTTACGTATTTAAAATATGATCTTTACACTTGCAAGTCCAGCACTGTAGGTATAGAAATAAGCCCAGCTTTTGGCTCGACTAGGACTTAAAAATCTCTTCTTTCCCTCACATATATATGGTAATTTTATTTTTCCTAATCTGTGAAAAGACCTTTTTATCCTCTCATTTCGAAAGTGCAAATGGGGAAAGCCCTTTGAGTTGTCATTTGTATTTTTAGCCTTAAAATGCCTTCAGACTTTATGTAGCCAGGCGTGGGCGAACTAACGTTTTTCGACCTAACAGAATCTTTCAGTTTCAAAATCCTGAGTGAAAATGGAATATTCTCCAGTGTTTTATTTCAAGACATTCTGACAGTTAACGTCATTAATTCTTTGTCTGTATGTATGTGTGCATGTTTCTATATATTGGCTCATATTGTAAGCGCTAAAGTTGCACATAATGCTGTTAAATTTAACCTTCTAGCCAAAACTTAAAAAAAAGTGTTGTATCAAAAAAAAGTTTGAAATTTACATGAGAAAGTGGATTATTCATAGTTTGCTACCCCATTAATTCTGTTTAAAACTTTGATCTCATTAAATCTTAAAATTTCATTCATCATAAGATTATAATTTTCATTCTCTGTTGAGTTATAAATTTAATTATTGTGTGCTAATTCAAACTTAAGACGACGGTAGAAAGTTCACAATATACCTTGAAAATATGAAAACCTAAGTTTTATGGCAGCTTATAGAATTAAAACAAATCTGCTGCTTTCCACAAATTTTGCAAAGGTGTTACTCGACCTGTGCTCAACATTTCACATAGAGCAATACAAACACAAAGAAAATTCACATAAAACTTCTTTGAATAAAAACTTTCACAACATGTAGATATAAGTATCCAAAATTAACAGTTGATGGGCTAGGAACCATGAAATGCCATTGTGGGCTGAAAAACCCTAATTTGCATCTCATTTGCAACAGTTTCTCTGCAGCCACAGTACGTTGCAATGGGGAAAACAAGTAAATAGTGAAGGTCATGCCATACTGAGATATAAATATTAGTATTAGAGAAGACTGCAAGCCTTTAATTCATTTTCATGAATTACAGTAAGAAAGTCAAAGTGAACAACTCTGAGAGGAAAAACGTCAACTCATTTTATTTATAGTTAAGGCTAACTATCGGTTGATGCACAATGAAGTATTTTAAAGGAGGTAAATTACCTAATTTATCTTTACAAGAATAATTTTTTCCTATTTTGTGACTTTTTTTAAGTTTGATTGCTTTTGTATTTTTTAACTTTTTTTGTTTGCATCTTTATTTGTTTGTTTTTTCCATAACACACTAGAGACTTGACCTAACTCAGTAATTAAGGTTACTACATAGATGAACAGTTTCAATCTATTGATGGCTGTTACATTATGTCTATTCTGGATAAAAAAAGGCCAAAAAATTTTGGTCCAATTCCCATGGCAACCTTTACCAAATTTATATAGGTACAATAGTATAATCATAATGCCAAAATCTGTCTCTAACATGAAATTAATATTATTTTTGTTTCTGTTTTGGTTGACCAAAATTTTGTGAAAGGAGGACCTTTACGACACACAGTAAAACATGTGTATGATTAAAATCTTTGACACATTTTTGACTTTTTAACTCCATTCCTTTCACAATTAGAGGACTGGCATTTCTCACTGGTATTCTGTGGCAAGGGAATTCTGCGGCAAGGGAATTCTGCGGCAAGGGAATTCTGTGGCAAGGGAATTCTGCGGCAAGGGAATTCTGCGGCAAGGGAATTCTGCCATAAATATATTAGACATTTTGCTATGAAAATTCTCAGTTCTAGCTAAGATATAACAGAGCCTGCGTCAAGCAGTATTGTAGCATATAGTAATTAATGTTGATAAATAAACTATAATGACATTCAAACCAATAATTTTGAAAAGAATATAAATAAACAAATAAGAGATCAACATTTCGGTAACATCAACAGAAGCATAATTTGAAGAGGAAAATGAACAAAAAACTTTGTTTCCACTAATGAACAGTTTACTGAGAAATATTTAAACAATTAACAAGCTCCTCCAAAGCATTAATTGTACTGTCTTCAAAATGTCAGGGGTTCACATGGCTGCTTCCCATCTGCAACAGGGTTAACACCTCTTCTGAGCTCTCCTCCTCTGAAACAAGACAAGACAGTAGTGATTACTAGCTCCCTCTGATTCTCAGAACTATCTTAAAAGTAATACAACTGAAATAATATTTAATAAATAGTATAACTAATAAAAGAAAATTTCTTAATCTGCTCCTTTGGGTATCCTAAGTTTCTCACTTTGTGATACCAAAGAGATGCTGATGATCTAAGTTACTTCCTTTATGACCCAAAAACAGGATTGAAATAATGAGGGTGTATTTTAATTTCCTAACAGTCCTATTGTAGTCTTCTGATGGGTTGTTTCTTGCACAAGATACATGCATCAACACCATTAACACAATCATTGTCATCGTCATTTCTATCTTTAAATTAAGTGCCAACAACAGAAACTAAAGAAACATCAATAACAGACAGTTGGATCATCATGTTTATCTATTATTTTAAAAAAAATTTCAAATAATCAAGAAACTATGTCCAATTTGGTTTTGAAAAAGAGACATGATAAATGTTTTTTTTGTCTGCTAAAAAAAAATGAAAAAAAAAATGAAAGAATGAAACAGAACACACAAAAGAAAAAAAGATATTTTTTGACTGGATGAAAAATTAAATTCTACATACACAAAGTGTAAAATTTTCACCCATGTGGCAGTGGGTAAATGCTTCACCCTTGAATATAGCTTGTACCTGAAACACTTGGATGAAGATCTGGATGGTCAGGATAGCCAGCTTTAATGAGGACACTAAGGGCATCATACCTCTGCATCTCCCTCAACACTTCCACCAGGTGGCCAAGATTCACGTTGCGTTCCTTCATCAGTTGGAAAATTGCATCCATACCATGGCATTCATGGTCTGTGTTGTCTTTTAGTGATATTGCCTCTTCTAGTGTCAAGTTGAAGAGTTTCGCTGCTAAATCTATTCGGTCTCTTATCAACAGTGCACTGAGTTGAGAATATACAGTGTAAGGTATTGATGATATCAATTGATCTGAAAAGAAATTAATCAAAAACTCCTGTTGGTAATGAGCTGTGACTGCAATCCACACAATGAGAATAATATTGATCCTCCGATCCCTTACCTACAGTGACTACCTTAGAGCACTCTAAGTTTAAAATTCCACATATCCATATATATATGCCTATTTTTTTTTCCTCTTTTACTATATGGGGTCTCAGGACATCTCAAAATGACACTGTTTCTAATCAGAAATCTCTATGCGGACAACATTGGAAAATCTATGACTCCTGTGAAGGTAACGTGATGAGAGTTAAACTGAACAAAAAAAACACTGTCTATTTTCCTTATTAATTAATATTTGCTGTTCACATTTATACTATTATGTAGAGAGCAGCACTGAGAGAGCTGATGCACCTGGCCTAGGACTGGAACCAAAATCTCTTAATTCAGCATATACCAAACATAAGAAATTTCTCAGTAAGCTAAGATTATGGGTGGTAAGCACTTTTTACCATGGAATAATAAGACTATGTATTACCTGGACCAGTAATTTTTGCAAAAGTTGATTTTGATGACAATGTGTGATATCTTGTTTTATTACCTTTAAAAATAATAGTAAAAAAGTTTCATGGATTTAAGGTTCAATTTTTTTAAGACAGACTTAAAATGAATAATTTTTTTACATTATCTTTGCTTAATACATATGTACATGAACTGTTTCATCTCTAGCATCTAGTTTCCCCTATCAGAATTACAGTTGAATCCAACAGTATGTTTATGGAAATAAGGAAAATGACACTTAGAGAATATTTATGCTGATGTTTGGATGTAAAGGGTTAATTAAGCCAAAGTGAACTGTATTTACCTGATCTTGTTACTCTCTAATATAGCTGCTACATATCTCCCTTAATTCAACATATTCAAACTGAAACAAATTTCTCGAAAAAAAATTTCCCTACCTGTTCTGTATGTGACATCCATTCTTGAATTATCACCACAAAGGACATGCCCACCACTAACATTGACTTTAAATTTTCTATTCCCTATTTGAAACATGGTGCAACTTTGTTATAATTTCATTATGTATGTTGGGAACACACATGTAAACAGCATAGATAATTTTAACAAACTTTTAAGGAGATATTTTCTAAATTACAGCAAAAAAGATATTTACATTGAGTTATTCTTAGTGATTCAAAATTTGAGAACAAATTGGAGAAGAATAAATTAAATAAAAACTTATAATTTCAAACAAGAGTTCTGGCGAAGCATTCATATAATTTGGCAAGGTCAGTAAAACTATAACAAAATATTTAACTTCTCTCCTTGCCTGTGATTATTTATAATAATGTCAGATATGTCATTTGCCAAAAAGAATAACGCTATTAAACTCTGGGTTGTTGCCAAGCACCAGCAGCTTGCAAAATTTGCAGAATGAAAAAGCGGCGATCCCCAGTTGGATTTTTGACCGTGAATGCACTACAGGGACTTTTGAGCAAATTAATGCACTTACAATCCCTGAAAATCTTTGAGTTGGCCTCTCTTAAAATTTCAGTCAGCCGCCCGATTTCTGAGCTACAACCTTGCATTACAACTTTAATTAAATATGAAGTTTTTTTTATCCAAATTTCTTCAGCTTTAGTACGATTTCAACTTAATTATTTTCATGCTATTACAGAGCTTGTAGCTGCCTACGAAATATGCTTCACCGCACACAGTTCCTTAATTTATTATAATTAAAGCCAGGCTCAAATATTTTACAATTCATGCACACAAAAGCTGCCTTCTGTTCTTCAGTAGCCGAATAATTTCTGGGACGAAAAAATAAAACTACATAAAGCTGACGAAGATCGCAAGAGCCCTCGCTGGACACGTTGTACAATCTACTGCAGCTCCGCTTGGTAGCCAGTGCGACTCACATTCAAGTCATAATGGAGAAAAGAAGAGCTTTTCGAAGTAGAATTAATCACATAAGACATTATGTTCATCAAAATACCTGCATTCTGTACATTCATATTTACTTCTGAAATTGACTATTTTCTGTAGCTTCTTTCGAGTGTTTCCCAGCCTAAAACCGTCGTTACGAGTCAGTCCGATTTATAGTTATACGAATTCAATGTTTGGCTTGCAGATTGATTAGTGCAAACTGTTATTTAACCGGCAGTAACGATGCAGCATCCACTCAGACAGTGACGTACAGTATAATTTTGAAAAGGAAACCGATAACAATTTATTTTGGGAAAATTACTTTTGGCATTGGGGAATCCCCTTACTCATGTGTTTTCGATTGACATCCACGATTGACATCCACGCAATCAACGCGTCCTCTGTGTGATTTTAGGCCTTTTAAAGGCATGCCAACAAGCGGGAGTCGGTTATTCGCTGGTATTTTACCTAACACTGTCTTAGATATCACCTCTGTAGATGTATGAACACATTTTCATCCCGAAAAATGGCAGAAACTGGGAACGGATTATGCAAGGCGCTCTGAACATTCTAAGATGAAGTCCAAAATGGAAATCAATCGACTGGGAACTAATAATCGAACCCAGTTTTCCTCGTAAGTACCTGAAAGTTTAGCCGGAAGAGAAAATCGCAAGTTCCTGAAAATTTCTTCCCCATCTAAACTTCCGATGTTAAAAACGAACACGCGAGTCAAAATCATTTCGACGGTGCGGTTGGAAGTTACGAGTTCCCTTAAACTTTTTTCCTATCTTATAGGCTCTCTTTTACAGCTAACAGTTAAAATTTTGGCCATTTTATGGCTAACGATTACTTTCTTTCCATTGTGATGAAATTTTAATTTTACAGTAAACTTTTTTACAACTAACGGTTACAATTTGCAAATTTTTACGCGTAACGGCTTAATTTGTTGGCCGTTTTACAGCTAAAAAGTTAACCCTATCGAGAACCCTACCTTAGTGGGCGTTTGAATATTCTTGTACAGGAAGCGGATACACTAAACACCACCTCAATAGAGCCCCGTCGTTCTTTACATGTTTCGACACTAGTAAATTCATAAATCTGCTAGGTTTGGACTTCCTGCCTAAGCAGTTTTCACGAAATGTACAGCTAATTTTATATTTAATGCGCTTTGTTATCTTTGGTTTCACATCCGCCCACAGACCTTAGAACTTCCACGGATTTATGGTTATAGCTTTCAAGTACGTACTCAGCATCTGACGGGTGTGTTATTGCAATTCACCTCTATTTTGGTACTATTGTACATGAGGTTTAATAGTAATTGCCATTCTCTATTTTGCCTCAGCCAAGTCATTCTGCTAAGAACTGAAAGTTACTCATCCTTAAGTCTAAAATTTCTTGCTGCTTGATTTAGCCCTGTTTCCTTTTCAATCATGCGTGTTCATCGAAATCCGTCGAACAGGACATTATACTGTTTTGAGGCAAGAGGACGTCATGATCTAACACGAAGTACTGCTTCATAAGTCTAGCCAGGTACTGAAACCATTCGCGTTTCATACAACGAACTGAATAGTCAAACGCTAGAATTGGTCAGTCATTTCAGTTGAGACGCGAAGCTGACGTCAAAAATGCAATGTCAGACATGACACACGTTTTTGAAAATGATAGTGAAAGAGTTACGAACGTGTTCAGCCTGACCTTTTTAGAGGAAAGGAAGCAAAGAAGCCACACGAATAAAACACTGAGTCCCCCATTCTTGGCAATATTGGCATATTTTCCGTCCGATATACTCGTGATCACAGTCATTGCACGGAATATAAGAAATAGCGTCGGTTCGTTGTTCTTTCGTAAAAGGATCCTTAGGTTTGGCAATATTGGCATATATCTGCCAAACCTAGGGATCCTGCTGTCACGAAAGAACAACGAACCGACGCTATTAATTCTATTCCGTGCAATGACTGTGACCATGTGTATACCGGACAGACCAAACGTCAGTTTGTTACACGTTTGAAGGAGCATCAAAAAGAGGTCTTCTTTTGCAAAAAGGGAAATTCAGCTTTGTCGGAGCACACATGCCTAACCCACAAGACTTGCACGCAGATTTAACGAGCAGATAACGAGAGGAATAAGTCCTCTCCCCACAAAAGGCTTGAGTGCTCATCAGAGAAAATCTCTATGATTTGACGCAATGAACTGATCTGACAAGCGCTTAACCGCTAAACATAAAAATAAATTCACAACTTGTAACACTAATCGTAGAGAAAAAAAAACCCTCTCTTGTAATCGGAGAGAACTGCCCATTCATGGCTCTTCATAATAATCAAACTATCACGTTCGAGATATCAAAGAATCTTTAACGTTTAAGGGTTAAACCTTTTCTAGATCTGTTTGTGGGCAGTCAAAGAAGGAAAGTATCATTTAAAAGTTAATATGCTTTTTCAGTTTCTCTTTCAACTTATACGCTCTATTTACACCGTATCACAATATATGTGTGCGATTCAGAAGTGTATTAAAATATTTCCCTACTCTAACTCTCCCCGTGGGGAGTTACCTGAGGGACTGGGCGAGAAGAATTTTCTGCCTCTATGATAGTCCTGTCCACAATTTTTCCAAGGATGTTTTAAAAAAGCAAACTACCATGTTTTAATCAAATTATTTCGCAGTTTCTTTTATACCACATCTACTTTAAATACACCATTTCCATTCACAGAATTAAGATATCTTGGTTAAGAGAAGACTTGTCTGTATGCCTCTGATCGTCCATTTTGATGGCGTAATCTTTTAAATCTTGAACCCTGAGGACAAGTAGTAAACAAAAGGGAAAAGGGAACAAGAGAAGAGTGAGAAGTAATTAACTACAAATTTTTACACAAATCAAGCCTTTACAATCTAAAATAAGTAAACACAGTCTGCGTACTATTCTCTACTTTTCTAAGCTGTTGAACGATCAAGAGCTTCTCCAGTCAGTGATCACTTCCTTTGTTCTCGTGACTTACATGTATGATTCAAGGGTGATATTGTAAGGAGAAATTAGATGTTAGTCACTCTTAGGGGTTAAAGGGTTAACCTCGGTGAAAGTCAACAAAACAAGTAGGCTAGTACTTTTGATTGAGGAGCTCAATTCGGGCGATTTCCAGCGCAATAATCAGTGGACCACGGTTCTTTCAACTACGACGTGCGAAAGGAGTTTGGAGCGGATGGGGGTTGGGGAAGGAGTAGCAGCCTACGATAAAATAGCAAACGTATATTGTGTCGTTGAGGTAGGCTAGTTCTAGGTACAGTACTTACTTGTAATTTGCTATGCTGTCTGTTACCCACTCTAAAGACACAGCGATCGTGTTCAAGTGACGACAGACCACTGTGACACAAAGAAAGAAAGATGAGAAAAAAAGACGATAATATTAATTTAGTAGAAAAAGGAATAATGGCCAAAAATAAAATTGTTTCAAACAAGATAAAGGTAATCAGTTTTCATATGAGAAGTGACAGTGTAACAAAAAAAACTGACAAGAACAAAAAACAAAAACAAGGTGAGATGTTGACTGAGGCACAGCGTAGGAGCTAAGAGAATGAGCCTTACCGTTCAAGTGATCAATGTTTGTTTTCGTATCTTTATCAAGGACAACAACTTTTCGGCCATCCTAGAAAGACAATAGCATTCAATTAATGGCCAGGCTCAGGGGATGCATCGGAAGGGTTTTTAAGTCGGGGAAAGAAGAGGGAATTGGGATGGGAGATGGAGCAACACTTTCGCCATACAGGTAATTTAGGGCATGCTAGTTAGTTCTGTTATTATTAGTCACCACTTTTCTTATTAAAGACATGCGTTGCACTACCTTAAAAGCCTACATCCTTATCTAGAGTTCGGGAAATTACAATGAGTTAAAGGGAAAAAAAACGCAAAAACAAACAAAAGAGACAAAAATATATAAGAAACATGAACAAATGAAAACGAAATTAAACAAAGAGGAAGAAAAGAGTAGAACCAAATAGACTCACCTTTCCGATTCTTTTTAAATTTTCAACATCGGAAAAGACACGTGCTCCACAAAATTTTAAAAGCTGGCTGAGCTGGTCTGTAGTTGAAGAAAAAAAAAAAGCCATTTAATAAAGTCATTTTTTGCGCCGCTCGCCTCGCGCTTGCTTCCGTTCGCCTGAAAACGCAAGAAAATCCCACCTGTTCCGCAGGCTATTTAGGAAATTAAAAAAAGATGAGATTTTATGCAAGATGTAAGAGCTATAAAGGCTCACAACTGAACAGCTTCTCAAAATTCACTTTAATGCCACAAATCTTTACAAGGAGCAGACAATTCAAAAGAAGTACCTTTTGCGACCGCTGCACTAAACTTGCCAAAGCAGAGAACGTGGAAGTCTTCGAACAATAGTGCTTCCTGGAAAAAATAATAAGTAGGAGACGAGTTTTGGGAGAGATATACCTAGAAGGCAAGACCAAGCAAGAGAAAACCTTCAACTGGTCAGCTGGGTTCAACCGATGTTCGTGAGATCTTAAGTTCGGTGCTACATCGCAATAACAACGAAGTCTACCGCTTGCGAAATTAATCGGGGTTTTGTATAAAATCTCACTTTCATCGCATACAGAGGCTAGTTGAGTGGTAAATGCTACAGAGTGTTTAGTACAAATTGAAACGTTTGATATTGTTTCATTTCCTAACAAAGGCAAATTTTTTTTTAGACATACCTTCTTACTTCTAGCTGTTCTTGCCAAGCAAGGGATAGAAGTTTGTCCAAGACCAGCGTCACCCCTCACTTCATAATCCGCCTGAGGAAAAAAAATAACGTATAACTCTTAACCCTTTACACCCTAACATCGGTATTCATATCCCCCATTCTGTTCTCCTTTCATTTCCTCTGGAGCTGACAAGAAGAATTTGTCTGAAAATCAGGAGCTTCCTAAATTGATGATCATTTCCTTTATTCTCATGACCTTAACATTTGATTCAAGGGTGGTACTGTGAGGAGACAGTAGAAGCCAGTCACTCTTAGGGGTTAAAAGGTTAAGGAGTGAACGCTTGTTATTCTCCCCCTGATTGTGGAAAAAATGTAATTGTGGCATTCAAGGGATGGTGCCATTATGAAACAATCCATGGGTAAGTAGCCTTAAACTAATCGAAAATATGTTTCTCTCGCGCGTGATTTTTTCAAGCGAATGACCGAAAAGACAGTCAGACAAACGGACTGGTAAATTAGCGGGCGGACATTCACTGAATTACACGGAGGCTAGAATAAGTACTCTAGTCCAGCTTTAAAGCTGAAATCGTCCAACCCATAAAAACAACGAAAAATAAATATATATGTGC